ACACAAGAGAGTGCCACAACACCCGGCACTTTGGCTGGGGCTGGGTTCAAACCTGCCACCCTCAGTATATGGGGCCGGCGCCCTACCCACTGAGCCACAGGCACCACCCTGGCACGAACATTTTTAAAGATCACTAATTGAATTATTTTCAAAAGAAGTTCAAAGCACAGTAAGTATATTCTTTTTTTTAACTCTTCTTTTTAATCAACATAATTTAAGCATGCCACAGAGGTTTAACCATAGGTGCAAGCATGCCATGAGACAAAAAACCAGGAGAGAATGTTGGACCCTTTTTTGTTTCTTTTTGCTGACTGTGTATTGCTTTCCCCCCGTGGTAAAGGGGAAATACCGTAAACTGAGTCATCATCAGCCAGGAACCATGTATATATATATATCTATAAATTAAGCATGCAGCAGCAGAAGCCTTCCCTCCTTCAAGGTGTAAATATGAGAAAACTGATTCTGGAGTTTATAGAAACAAATGTACAATAGTTTAAAACAATGATACATCTTTTCTCTCACATGAATCTTAGTGATAAATTGTCAAAACAACTTACCTTTGCCGAATTCATGAACATAAAGTGGCCACTTCGTACAACTCTAGAAATTACTGTGGATGTTGCCTCATGGCTATGAGAGACAAGAGCTCTGCAGCTAAAGGGTGGGGGGTTGGGGGGAGTGGGAAGGGGAAGGAGCGGATGTAGCATACTGAACCAAGGACGGCAGGCTGTAAGTTGCACTTTGTTCTTATGCTTAGCTTTGCTTTGCTTTGTACATATGGAAAAATGTTATACCTTTTAAAAGTCTGGCTTTTGGGAGGTGCCTGTGGCTCAAGGAGTACAGCATCAGCCCCATATACCAGGGATGGCGGGTTCGGGTTCAAGACCAGCCTGGGCCAAAATTGCAAAAAAAAAGTCTGGCTTTCAAAAAATACTAATAGGCTTGGCGCCCAAAGCTCAGTGGTTAGAGCGTTGGCCTGGTACACCCAGACTGGGTGGTTTGAATAAAAACCTAACTGGGTGTTGTGGCAGGTGCCTGTGGTCCCAACTACTTGGGAGGAGGCTAAGACAAGAGAATCACTTAAAGCCCAAGAGTTTGAGGTTGCTGTGAGCTGTGACACCATAGCACTCGGCACTCTACCAAGGATGACAAAGTGAGACTCTGTCTCAATAAATAAATAAATAAATAACTACAAATAAATAGAAGTTTGGCTTTCATTATAACATATTACTATAGAATCTTGTGAGAAACACATGATCCTTGGACGATGCCAACTTAATTTTACACCCCCCTCCCCAGCTTTTCCAGAAAAC